TTCCCGCGCTGCCACTGAGAGCTGGACTGGATCCGCAAGGACGAGCCCTTACATGTCTTCATCTGGCATGCCTTCCATGAGATCCCCCGCCATGGAAGTCAACGAGCGTCTCGAGTCTCGCCCAACACTTCCCAGCCTCCCGCCTATGAACTTCGAGAGGGAATCGATCCCCATGCAACGTGTCCGCGGCCACTCCCAAGACGAGTTCCAGCCCATCCGCCCTTCCATGGCCATGTCTTCAGGACCCATGATGGAGGCCACTCCTTCATACCGCCCCAGCGGATACGCCTATGGATACCACCACCCCAGCCGAGTCCAGTCTCTTTCCCTCGGCTCCATTCACCCCTTCGACCGCACACCATTCTCAGCCGCCGGCTACGGTCACTACCCTGAGTTCATGCGCATCGGAGAGCTTGGAGCCATGGGAATGCACGGTGACAGCAAGCAACGCAAGCGCCGTGGCAACCTGCCAAAGGAGACGACTGACAAGCTGCGTGCTTGGTTCGTCGCTCACCTGCACCATCCCTACCCCACGGAGGACGAGAAGCAGGAGCTCATGCGTCAGACCGGTCTGCAGATGAGTAAGTTTACACTTTTCAGAGCCCGTTAGGTGTGGGACCAAAAACGCTAATCTTTTTGCCTCTAGACCAGATCTCCAACTGGTTCATCAACGCGCGGCGCCGTCAGCTTCCCACCATGATCAGCAACGCCCGTGCAGAGTCCGACGCCATGTCCAGCCGCAGCGGCGAGAGCAAGATCCTCCCGTCGACAGAGCGCAGCGAGTACGACGACGGCAAGCGCAACAGCGTCCCCCTCAGCGATGGCGAGGCCTTTGATGAGGACATGGACCTGAAGCAACGGCGCTCTGCACACATCAAGAGGGGAAGCATTTAGAAGAAAACGCCCCTTGAATCATCCAAGACAAAGAAACAAAAAACGTCAAACCAAAAAAATACTACCAACGCCCAAGACAAAGGGCAACCTCCTGCGACTTAAGAATTCTTTTATCACTATACCAGACGCGCGCTTCATTCTATCTTATCATCATTAACGACGGACCACGACCGCAAAAGACCCAACCACAACAAAATTCGGCAAAATCAGGGGCAAATTTCTAATATTCATGAGCTTTGTATAAAAAACAATACCGCCAGGAGTTGATGGGATCAAGTCCCTCCTCCTGGAAAGCACCCTTTTCTACGTCGACTGTATCTATGGGGATAATGTATTCTTACACAACACACAAGAAAAGGCGACTTGGGGTTTTACATCACAACACACACAAATGGGACAACTAGGGGCGGGATCGGGAAGGGGGGATAGGTGGGAAACCGGATTGGGCTGGTCGGACAGACAAATCTGCATAACAAGTTTTTCTCGACAACTGTTTTATTTTTTTCACAACGGGGGTGGGAGGTGTTTCATGGGTTAGGCAAAGGGGTCAAACATTTTTATTTCTCTTTCTCTTCAACCCAAAGAGCCAAACCAGAGGCTTGAGCTTCTCTCTTCATCACAGGATACGTAGAACGATATCATTGTAACAAATTCTCTTTATTTAACTGTCTATGAGCCTACACACAAAAAGGATGTCATTCTCTTGTATATAGTACAAAAATATTCCAGGATCAAACTTCTTAACTCGTATCTCCAAATCCATTGCTGTGTCCAACACTCAGAAAGATTGACAAGTTTTTTCTCCTCTGTATTTCTGCATAGTCCACCTGGTGAACCCAACAGTCCGGCACCATAGGAAAAGCAAGACAGCCCTGCCTCAGAGCAAAAGGGGGTGGTGTGTCAGTGTCTAATGCGCTTGTTTCTTGTAAGTGACAGACAAACATGTTCCCTATGTCACATCCCTCTTTGGTAGAACATTTCTTGTCCAAAACAAACAAACAAACCGTCGGAGGCTTTCAAGTCCACGGGCCTCTTTTCTGGTTCTTCAGCTGAACAGAAGTCAAGAGATGGCGAACAATCCAAGCGCAATGTTTACATTTTGCACGCAGATCCAATCGGACACAACAAAACACAATCACCACTAACACTGTAACTTTCTACAACTAGGCAACTAAACAAGAAAGCAAGAGGCTGGGTTGAGAGGTACGTACGTATGTGTGTGCATGTATGTGCATATGTGCGAGTGTGTGTGTGTGTTCGAACATCAAGCAACAAGAAACATGAAAGGTCTGTGTGGTTTCCCAGTTCCTGGATGACAGTCAAACCAAAGGCACTCCCACCCCTCCCCTCCTTACCTTGCCTTACGAAAGGCCTGGCTGGCTACGTGCCGTGGTATTCCGACAACGTCACACGCATGGTGTTGGGTCTTGTTTTTGCTCTCCACATCCATCCAACCCGGGCACTTTCACCGTGCTCATCACCTTGCCTTAGTCGAGGGCTGAAGGAGGAGGGAGTGGGCTGGCAAGAGCCCCCTCCAGGGCTGCGTGTATGTGCATGTGCGGGTGTGCGTAATGCGTTTTGCGTATCGCTGTGCATTTGCGTTTACCTGTGCGGTTGTTGCTGAAGTGTGAACATGGAGAACTTGGAGGCGTGTGAGAAAATGGCGGCGACCCGAGATCCTGGGCGGCGAGCTCTTAGTCCCGCGGAAAAGGTCCGTCCGTTTACAGCTTTGCCCCTTCAAACTACCCCGTTTCCCGCCTTTTTGCCGGTGCCGTTGTGACCAAGACGTCGATGATATCGTTGTTTTGTGCGCGGCGGATGAACGTTTCTCTTCAGAGACTTACGGTCAAGGTGAAAGGGCGGACTACTGCAGTCGCCTCTTCCCTCGATCTCAGTCTCTGTGTGACTTTCCCGCCGTCACCGCCGCTTGGCCTCTTTTTTCCCCCTCAGACTCCGGTTGCTCCGTCATTACACACGGATTCTGCAGCGGGCGGGCCCTTTTCCTCGAGGGGCTGATGGTTGAAAGAATAGTCGTCACGCAAAAAGGCGGGATGGAGACAAGATCAGACACTGTAAACGCACGTGTGTGTCGACAAACCCCTACAACAATTCTCCGAGATTGGTAGAGAGCGGCCGCCCTCTTGGTGTTAAATAAATTGTTAAGCTGACCGAGTTTCTTCAATGAAGGCCACCATCTCTTTCTCTAGTGTCCCTCTTAGAGCTCTTTTTTGGTGCCGGGCTAATTAATGTCTGCTTGCTAAGTTGACTAGTCTGATATTGTAGTTCGTCGTTGGCCCCCCCCTCTTTGGAATTATCCCGCCATTTCGTTGTGACAACAAGTCCGCCTCTTTTTTTTTTTCCAACGCGATTAGTTTGTGTGGAGAAGGTCCAAAACTTCTGCAAGCACATTGCATCACATTAGGTGGTTCATGTGGGCAGCAAAAAGCGAGTGACTGACGAGGATTGAGGAGGCACAGAGGCTTGAGGATGAGGTGAAGTACCAAGCTACTGTATGCTCTAATGTGAGGTGATGCGTGTGTTTGGTGATTTTTGTGTGTGAGTACATGTAAGTCTACCTTATGTTGTACATGGCCGACAGCGTTTAGTAATGTATGTGGCGTCGTGAAACGTGAAACCTCTCACACACAGCCATTTTCCTCGGGTTCTGCAGCTCTCTCTCTCTATTTACACTGCGACATACAAAGTGGAAAAGAAGACTAACGCTTCATGTCAGGGCGTTACAGCTGATTCGCTGGATTCCGAACATTGAATGGGTAACGAAACTGTAGGTATTTCCCTGCGTGCTTGTACGAGATGAGGCGGGTATCAAATCAGGCCAGGGCAATAAATCTTTTCCTTTCTTTTTTCGGTGGTTTCACAAAGAGCGCTGCAGGCGCGGACGGATTCGGGAGGGGCCCTCCCCTTCCGCCGCCCCTTCTCGAGGGGAATCACGGGACTCGCGGAAAATGATAATACGAGAAAGGAGAAGTCAGGAGCGTAAAGGTGAAATCGGGTCAGGTCAGGTCAGGTCAGGTACCTGCAGTTCCTGAGCAACCCACACCAACAAAAGTTAAGTACGGATGCTGTGGCGTAATCGTTCATCAAGAAAAACGAGGCCAGCCGCAGTCTCCGGACCCCAACAACACACCAACACACAATGACATTGACATAATGGAGCAAACACCGAAAAGGCGGAGTGGGCTAAATGTTTAGAAACCTCCATCCTCGGCCGGCCTTGCGAAATACATGGACCACACTCACACTCACACTCGCATTCACACACATAATATCCGGAATGGATGCTTTACTCCACAGGAACTAGACACGTCCCCTACCTTAGTTTACCCATGGCTCGCCGCGCCGCCCGTCACAGAGGCACACCTTGGGCAGTTCAAGTTTTGAGTGCGACCCTTCTTTTCCTCTCGGTGGCAGGCCTCGCCGTCCTTTCGCGCTACCTTACCTTGCGGGCCTGGCTCATGGGAACGTCGGCGAAGCTGTGGTAGCCACGCAGACGCACGCCAACGGCGCAACCTCTTCGCACAGGTGGGATGGACACCCACCACTACACTACTACCTCTCTTCTTGAGGTGCTCTGCGAAAGTGGGTTGCCTGGTTGCATATTCGGGCAGTGGACCAACGCCTCCCGATCTCGATAATGGGAGCTGCAGATCTCCTTGACCACCTTACCTACGTCCGTCCTACCCTCTGAGTCCCTGCGTACGTACAGGAGCACTGGTTCTATCCCGCCCTTTCTATTGTCTTTGAGGCTTTCTTCTTTTTTTCTTTTTTTTTTCTCCTTTTCTGCCCACACTCGGAAGGGGGACCCTCAATGTCAGGTACTTCCACGAGAACCCCAGTGTACTTTGACAATGGGGCGAAACATTGGCATGCTACTACTAGTTACTGATGATGCCTTGCAGTTGCTTTCCCACCCTTCATGCCATGCGGGTGTCTAGCCTTGCTGCTCTCCTGACTTGTCCTCAGACTAGGTTGCTGCTGCTACATGCAAGCTGCAAGTGCATGACCCGTGGGTTATTGGGAGCTCTTTTGCCAATTACTCTTTCCGCAGGTGGTTGAGATAAACCTCCTTTTCCTGTCTCTGTCTCTCACATCTTGGCAGGACGCAAACCTTCATTTATTCCCGGGACAAAAAAAAAAAAGCAAGGAACCGTAATGGCAGGTAGACACGGACATGGATCGCTGGTCCACGTTGCCCGTGTCAAGGCCGAAAGTGATCGACTGCCGGTGTCAGGATACCTCCTCGAAGGCCCCTTGACTGGTCGTGACAGAAGAACCCAAGACAGCTGGATAGGGGGGGTAATAGAACTGGTCGGAGCCATTAGCATGGTCATCCGATGAAGTAACCTTGGTCTTGCTGAGACGTTGACGTGAAGGGGGAAGCAAGTCAGTCCTTCCAAGGGGGTGTGAAGTTTGATAGGTACGAGGCAACAACCACCACCACACCATAAGCTCAATCTCGACAACCAACCCAGCCAAAGGGGGCCTTCGATACGTTTCCGCACCATTTCCCCCTCTCATATCGAGCGTGTGCTCTTAGGGAGTTGGGCTTGCCGCCCGAAAGTCAAATTAACATCTGCCAGTGTGCTACGGCAAAATCCTGACAAGTGACTGGGCCCGATGCAAGGTGCGGCAGGTGTCTAGAGGTTGAATGAGGGCGAACCAGAGTGGGAAGCGAGACTCGTCGTGATTGCGATGTCACTGGGCCTCGCGTCCGATGCACAAGCGTCGTAGCTTTGTGTGAGATGACAACCAGTCGCAACGGCCACTGGACGAAGAAGGGGGGGAGGGTGTGCAGATTCACAACGTGTGGACTGCAGCACAACACAAGACGAGACCCAGGAAAGGCCGCCGTCGACAGGGAACAGGGCTCGCACGTCCGGTTGCTTCAAGCCGGGCCAAGAACGGCCGGCGCTCAGAAGGGATGTCAGTTGCCCACCCTCAGGCACGGGACATGAGACTTGGGGTGGAAGGTTGGCGAGTCAAACTCCGCCTTCTGGTACGGCTGTTGCTGTTACAATGTTAATAGAGCTTGAGGCGGCAGGAAGCTATCATGGATGTCAGCAACGAGGCCAAGCTCAGCCCATCAATGGGCGTGAGGGTGGGAGAGCGACCAAAGAAGGCATGGGCTTGCCATGTCAGCGTCACTAGGTTCGTAGGGCCTGTTACTGCAGCATAGAATAGGAAGGCCGAAAGATATTGGGATGGGAAGGCGTAGATCCATCATCCAAGGGTGTGTGACTTTCTCATTTGTTCGGCACTTTCTGGCGGAGCTGGGAGGCGTTAGATGCAAACGACCTTGCGCGGCGCAATCGAAGCGTGATGCCTATGGAGATGTGCAAGAACCTGGAAGCCCTGGATGGATGGTGACATGCCGTATCGCCACTTGAGATGCAGCATTAGAGAGCATGGCCATGGTAGACCGGGGAGTATGGTGAGGAGAAGTTCAAACGACGTTGGCGCGATGGAGAAATGGCGGGCGGGTCTACAATCTGTAGCGGGTCCACGGAGATCAGCGGATCTACATTGGACAACGACAACCACGGTGCCACAGTATTATCATACAGGCACATAGAACGAACACAGGGACCTGCGCGCTGACGAGGAATTGGGATGAAGGCAAGCCATAGCGGCCGGATGTATCATGTATCCGTAAGGGGGATGCCAGTTCGTGATGCCTGGGCCCTGTCGACGAAAGCAATTCCGTTTCCAGGATAGCAGATTGGGGCTATGTGGATGGGCGTCGTGAGCATGCAATTTCATGGCGTGGTGAACAATTTGCAGGCCAATAATTAGATGGAACTTGGAGTCGATGCTTGTCTTGGTGGAGGGCCATGTTCGATACATGTCAAGGCGATTGGCTGTTTGGGATTGGCGGAAGGTATCGAGACTCATTCGAGAGGGTCCAAGGTGCGGATGTCGGGAGTGTTTCGAGGGCATTCAAGGGTCGATAGACTATGGCGCCAGGAGCGTTAGTTTCGTGCTCTGCTCGCTCTTTGGCGTTTGTGGCTTGTCTGTTGGTCGGCCAGACTCGCATGGCAAGGCCGATGAGGCGCATCTGGAAAGGGTAGAAGGAGAGCGTCTTTGTCTCAGGGCATTCCTTTGACGGATTCAAGGTGTTCCATGAAGTTGGTTCGCCTCTTGAGGATGCTTAGCGGATAGCCGCGGCCGTGTTGACGCTTTGAGAAGTTCTGCAGCGACAAGTAGTCGAGCACAGTCGCCGGGCCCCCATGTTTCGAATACTTCTGCTGGGGTTCTCCAGGAATGCTTCTCCTGTGTTGGGTAGGCCAAGACGTGTCAGGGTATTGAATCCCTTGAGCAGGTACCACTTGATGATTTGAATTTCTTCGGCCCCCTTTGTTTTCGGAAACGTAGCAAAGTACTGAGCCGGTTCGGGAACGAGGTGTCTCCTGTCAGAGCCGTCGTGCAGCGGGCAGAGAGAGGGCCGAGGGGCGGGTGCCGCACACATCATTGATGATTGACCAAAAGTGCCTTGACGTGCCGGGAAAGGCCTGGTACGAGAGGGATGCCAGCGATGACTCGCCGGTGGAGGAGAGCCGTTGGGGATGTAACTCTGTGATGTGTGTGAAGTATCTTTCTTCTCTTTTGCGGCAAGTCGATTTCCAAGAAGCGCATTCTCCGTACACTACCGATACAGAGTAGTAGGAAGCGTGATGAAGAATGGACGGGAACGCAAGATTGTGAGTGGAGGATTGACGTTCACGCTGGAGATTGAAGATGGCTTGTGCCCCACAACCTAACTCTAAGGTACGAAGTGATTCGTACCTCACCATGCTCACTAAGCCCAGGGTACGTACACGGTAAACCCTGGTCAGGCGGTCCGGACCAGTAGCGACGATACGTACCTCTGCCTGACGTTGGTGAAGTCCCGTGGGATCCACTTGAGCTTCATGTTCCTTCCTTCCTTTCCAGGCCTTGCCGAAAAGGTACTCCCAATCTGGGCCTGAGCGGGTGGGTCTTTGATGTACCTTTCTCAAATAAGCTCCCAGGCAACCTAAGCTCTGATCCAGCTCCATTTCTGTTGGGCCGACCAATGAGAATGGGAGTATACGTATTCCAAGAACATATCGAGATACCGAGACCGTTAGGAAGTACCGGGGTCCTTCCTACCTATTTCTACCAGGTAGATACCTAGTAGGTATCAATTGAACAAGGGTTTGTCGTCGTATAAGCAAGGCGTGAACCGTCGAATCCCTACTCCAGTGATGTGCGACGCTCAATCGCCATTGCCAACAGTGCCGTATCGCGATCATTATCCGCGATGTAGCACTGACTGGATGGCTGCCATCCTCCAGCCTCCAGGTCCGGGCTATAAGCGGAAGGGTAGGGGAGGGAGGGACGGGGGCCATGTGGGGAATGATCCGGTCATGGCTGCCATAATCCCGGCGCCCCGATTTCCGCCTATCATCCGCAGCAAATGATCGCCGGGCCCCGGTCGCCATCTTGCAGCCGCCCTGGTTTGGCCCTGGTTCAATCGAGCCTGAATGCCACTCAACTTGTCAACGGCTGCGTACTTACCGCGTAGTAGTTTGCGGATTTTCCGACCCATGCTCCAAGAGATTTTGTTCCTTGACAAGGCTTTTACGATTCAAGGTTTACCTGTCGCAGGTACGTAGTAGAGAATGGACACAATATTGTGCCTACTGCGCAAGATCAACCACGAATACCTGGTCGCGAGAGACGGATATCCCACCTACCATTCAAGCGATGCCCTCGTACCAATTCCGCCATCACCTTCATCCCGACGACATCCGTGCTTCCTCGGACTATGCCCCAATGGTCCGTTCAGAGACACTTACCTACCTTAGTCACTCGAGGATTCAAGCCAAGCAAGGTAAATCTCTGCAAAAACGGAGCAGCGGTCAGGTATCCCACATAAACACTGTAGCATAGTACCAGCCTATGTACAAGTGCGGGTACGTGAGCAGGATATCCTCCTCTTCTGCCTTTTCTAGGTACATGCTGGACACTGCTACTTGCTTGCTGGGTCATGACCCAGAAGAACTGGTACATACGTGGCGCCTTGCACCTGCTCTCACAGAACCAGCTCGTCACTGGATCACAGAGGGCCTCAGAATGAGTGCTTCCTTCCTCAATCCGAGCATGTCACGCATGGCGACCCAAGGTATGTACAGATCTGGGGCTGCGGCTGCCGCCAACGTAGGGCAATGCGACCTGACTTGAGGTGCCAGTCAGCGAGACATTGGACGCCCCATCTGCCAGCTTGCCAGTGCATCGTCCAGACTCCAGTGGACGCCTTGGGAGGCTTCTCGTTGCATAACTCGACACTAGAGCGTCGCCATACCATCTCCACCTTGCATTATGTTTCGTCACGATAATGGGCCACACTCGGACCTTGACTCAAGGCGTAAGCCTAGAGCGGTCTCTTCCCAACATCACGCAGCCTGGCTCACTCAATCAGAGTCTCCAACACATCGTTTCTGCGTGTGTGCCCCCCATCGCTTATCACACTTTGCCTCCTCAAGACCAGTGTGCCCTGCAGGCTGAGAAGGTCAGTCTAGCATGGCCTGGCCTGCCGAAAGCCAAGGAGTGTCACTGACTTCACAAGTTGTGAGTTGTCCCTGCCCCCATCCTCACTCCTCAAAACATAGTTTGCTCTGACGTCTATCCCGATTCACACCCGTCAGCCGCTTGGTTCCACTCGACTAGCAACGCACCGGGCGGTCATAGGTACTTCCCCAGCCTAACCCACGTCGGCTCGTCTCTCATCCTCAAAGTTAGTGTTTCTACGAGGGCTGCCCTGAATCGCAACGGCCGACGATCCCCGTTGCCTGTCTGCTCCCTTGTCAGGTGCGTTTGGCTCCTCGACTCTAACTGGCTGGGACCTTCCTCCGATGCGCGGCTGCTTTGAAGGATGCACAGAACACGAGGGCGCTCAGATGACAAGTCTGAAGGGCACCACCCACTGGCAGCAAGCCAAACAGCATATTTTTGGTGAAACCACCTAACAGAGGCCACTCCAGCCCCTTTCATTCTACCATCATGGCAATCCTCATACTTTGCTTTGATGGGGCTGGATTTACCTACGCACAGCCCTGATAACAGGGCATTACAAGGTTTCCAAATCCATGTCGCCAATCTTCGAGAATCACTAAGATCACGGCTTGTCTGCTGACCACGCGGCGGGAAGATCATGAAGCCTGGGCCACCGTCGATCCTGATCAGCAAGAGTCCTGCGCCAAACGCCGAAATCCCCGGGTCCGTTCGGCTTGTCAATCTTAGTTGGCTTCATCTCCCGTCAAGTCTCTCGCCCACATATTCCTAAACTGGCCTCCCGAGAAGCCACTTGAGCAATCCTCTTAGTGCCAAACAAAATACCTTCCGAAGAACTCGCGATCTGTGGTCGCTTCGGCCCCGCAGAGGAGTAAGCCAAGCATCCCAGTCAGCAAGCGGTGGCGGGCAAGCGCTGCCTGCGCAAGAGACATTCTTTGCAGTTCGTAGTCAACCTCAAAATCTCTTGGCCGCGTTCGTTGAATGATTATCCCCAAACGCCGTCGTGTGTCAATTTCTCACTCGGCGTTGTGCTGACATCCAGACCACGACGATCATCAGCCTTGGGGCCAAGCCTAACGATGTCTTTTGCCATGAGGCGCTAGACTGGGATACCGTGTGCAGCTGTCAAAAGGTTCAATGTCTCGCTCGCATATTCGGCTTCTCAAATCCAGTCAATTGTGCTACCTTTGGTGTCATACTCAACCGAGGGACAGTGTTGGAAGCGTGGTGGAATAGTGGACCGTGGCGTTCGGCGCGCGTCAATCCTCCACGCTCGCCCGTGTTTTAGTTCGGCAGCAATGTGAGACTAGTGGCAATTCTCTCGGCGCGGTTTCGACTGGTAATTTCCCGACTCCGTTGCAAATCACACTCGCGACTACGAGGAGGATGCCGTACAAGGCGTAGTTGGAAGGCCTGGCCGTCACCTTGATTCTGGCGGGCGCCATCGTCAGTGGCTGCCGTTCCTCGACACGCTTCACCGATGAAGTGCATAGCCGGATCTCCCGTCATCCTTCGAAGAACAGAGTTTCAGACCGTCGACTGTGACGAATGAGAGTAGGTGTGATCACTCGTGATCGTCCCACCAAGGTGAGAACAGTCCATCTGACCGCGACTGACCACGAGAGACTGGCACTCAGGCACTGTAGGTAGGTATTCGCCCTATGGCCGAATGCTATGACAGCACAATTGGGATGGCAGTCGGTGAACACCTTGACCCAGGGCCCAGAGTGCAGCAACTCTGTCCATCCCGTTGGGTATTCGTTCCTGAGGCGCCACGGAGAATTTTAGTCTTTTGACGACGCAAACTCAAAAACTCGTCATCACCAAGATTGCAGACGTTTCTTCGTCGGCTACTTTCACCTGATACCTTAGCTCTGGGGACACTGACAAGCTTGGCTGTCGGCTCGCCATTAACTTCGGCCTTTGGCGATGGATCCAGATCATCCAGGGGAGGCGGCGATGAGCCTCCGCCGATCGTTGAACATCCCCCGAGCTGTCCGTGAGCCTGCGCAGCTGCGGTGCTGCGATCGGCCTCAGCGTTCCTGGCGAAGATCACCGGGCCAAGAGCCACCAAAAAGGGCACTTAGCAGCGGCTAGGCGGAAGGCTCGGCCGAGCCGGAGCCGGATGGGATGAGATCACCGGAAGAGGTCGCCGAGTGTCGGCCAATCCATCCGCGCGTGGAGTTTGCGGAGTTCCACAAATTATCGGCTGAAGAGCGGGAGAATATCGGACAGTGTCCGGCAACGGCGCCGAAGATCTCGACGTCGTTAGTATCCATTTTGCGCCGTTTAACAGACTTGGCATACCTACATGAATTGCAACCCACGTGGAGAGCAGCGTGCACAATTGGTCGCTCAGTCTCTGGGCAGTAAGAAGATCGAATTGTTCAACTCCTGGGGCTCATGATGAGTCATCACGGAAGGCTCGTCATAGAACTCTCCAGAGCCAATCAGGACGAGGCACTAGATCCATCTCGGACATCGGACATCGGTGCAGAAACTGTCCGATTGAGTAAAGAATGGGGCCGGCACACGCTCGAGCGCGTATCTGCCTGGTGTAGACCTGTTCCTAATAGTGTAGCAAAGGGCCACAGAGAAACTGTGAGTTACTCTTTGGCCTTTTTCGCCGCAATAGTGCTTCTCCAAAGCCCGCATTACGTACCCATTGTCTCTTGCGTCACGCTGCAGCCCACCCGAGTCCGACTCTCTCCCGTATCTTCCGAGTTGTCCTGAGTCTTGGAGCCCCCCCGGCGCCGCCGAGGCCCACTCCCGGCACTCTCTCCCTATCTCCCGCTTGCCGAGGTCTCGGAAGGAAGTTTTTGCGGCTCATCATGGAGACTGACGACGGCGTACAAGCGGACCTTCCGGGCTCCGCCGCCAACGGTTCGGAGCCGTTGGCGTGTGTGACATGCCGGTCCCGGAAGCTTAAGTGTGATCGAGTGAAGCCGGCATGTAGCCGTTGCTTGAAAGTCAAGGGAGAATGTGTGTATCCGGAATCCAGGAGGAAGCCCGCATTCAAGCGGAAGAATGTGAAGGAGCTCGAAGAGAGGCTAGGTAATGCGCTCTCATATACTTTTCCGCCAAAAGGAGCGTGTTACTGACCAATATGTATAGCCCAAGTGGAGGATCTTCTCAAAGAAGCTGCCAACAAGGGCAATGGAGCACTACCTTCTGAGGGTGACTTGGATAGCCGGATCAACATTGGCATGGACGACTTCCATGTCGACATTGAGACGATCATGGCCATGCAGAATGGTACCTTTGACGACGGATCGTCTGGTTTTCACACGGGAGTGAACATGAACAAGACGGCACCGCCCTCTCAACCTGAAGCACCAAGCTTTGCCAATGCCTCGGGGGAACTCATGGGGCTGGGGCTCTCAGAAGCTCTACCCCCTTTTGAGATGATGGAGGAGCTGTATGTTGGCATCTGACGCTGTCTTCCTTTTCTGCTCTCGCAATGGCACGAGCATATCTGACTGGAGAACCAGAAACAAGAGCTTCTTTGAGAGGCAACAGCACTTCATCCCTATCATTCACCCTGGACGATATCTCCAGGCGTTCTACTCGGCGCCTCATAAACGTCCGCCCATGTGTCTGCAGTACGCGGTCTGGTCTATGGCCTCCAACGGGCATGAGAAGTATAGCCAGTATCACGACATTTTCTACAAACGGGCTCGACAATACGCAGATGCGGATGAGATGAAGGTGAGTTCTCCCTCTCCCTCACCCTATGCTCTGGATAGAATTCGCTGACGCTCACACTACTACGTTAGGGATTCGGCGAGCACTTCCTCACTATCCAACACGCGCAAGCGTGGGCTCTCATCGCGACGGACGAAGCGAGGTCTCTCTTCTTCACGAGAGCGGCCATGAGTTCCGCAAAGTGCGTACGGCTCGTGGAGATGATGGGTCTTCACCGCATCGACGGCGACGGGCAGGAGATGTCGCCGACCCTTGCGCCGCCCACGTCGTGGGTTGACCTTGAAGAGCGGCGGAGGGCGTTTTGGGGCGCTTACTGCATCGACTGCCACGCAAGTATCGCGACTGGTTGGCCTACTCTCATCGACCCCAACGAAGTATGTTTCCCCGCATGTCTAGCCCCTTTTTCTTTTCTGAATACTGACACCCAGATAGATCACTACACATCTTCCCTCGTCGGAAGAGGCCTTCAACTCGGCCCGTGAGGAAGAAACATCAACCCTACCAGAAGCGTTCCAAGGCGCCTCATACTCGACCTTCGCGGGCGCCGTCATCATGTGCTACATCTTCAACATGCTCCTGAAGCACGTGCACTGGGAGCGGCCCAACGACAGGCCCGCGGACGTCGAGTACGGCGAGTTCTGGAAGCGGCACAGGGACATTGACAACATGCTCTCGAGCGCCTTCATGTTCTTGCCGGAGCGCTTCCGCCTGCCGCAGAGCATGCGCGACCCTACGTCCGTTCACACGAACCTCAACCTACACGCCTCGGTGATCTGCCTCCACCACGCCGCGATTGACAGAATCGAGCGGAACAAGCTCCCCGAGCCGCTCAAGGCCGCCTCGGAGCTGCGGCTGCGAACGGCGGCCGAGGAGGTGGTGAGCATCATCAAGTTGACGAGCCACATGAACTCGGGCTATGTAAGTGAAAGCCACGTCCGCCTCGAACCCGGCTTCGGAAACGCTCATGCACTGCAGAAAAGTCCCATGGTCGCCTTATCGCTGTACTCGGCCGCGTCTGTGTACGTGTACTCGGCGAAATGCAACATGGACACCGGCTTCTCGACGGCGGACCTGCAGAATCTAAAGTTCATCATCAACGCCATGGAGGCGATTGGTCGGCGGCACATTATTACGCAGGCCTTTCTCCAGCAGATCTTCATGGACATCGAGCGCAACGGCCTGTCGGGCGTCATCGATCTGCCCAATCTGGCACACTACAAGAACCTCTTTGGCTGGACGTCGTCCAACATTCCCTTGCTCGCGCGGACGTCCATCTCAAAACACACCGAGATCCAGCCGCCCTTGCCCGGCAGACTGCCGCTCGGCAACCCAAAGGGTACCGCCTACGAGCACTACCCGATCAGGGTGCAGCACGACGGCGGCTGCAACACCCCCGTGTCCATGGGCGGCACCAACCCGATGCTCGGGCCAACGCTCGGCAAGTTCGACCAGCCTATCGGGATGGGCCCGCCGTCTTCATCGGCGTCTATTGATACGCGGGACATGGGGCCGAATAAACGGAAGCGGACATCGGAGTCGACGACGACTACATCGACAAAGAGCCCGGACGTGACGGGCATGGCGCAAGGGGCCGCTTTTGCTTACCCGTCAGTGCCCGTCGCCTCTGGTATCGACAGCGTGGGCGGGTTCGGGTCGGGACTCCTGCGAGGGAGCGGCATTATTGGACCAACAGCAGGAACGGCCACTTTCCCAGTCAACCTCCCGCACCGGAGTCCCGCGGCGGGACAGCCGTCGCCAACGTCCGTGTTCGACAAGAGCACGCCGTCGCAGTCGACGGGCGGGAGCAGCAGTAACGATACGCCGCCTGGTCTCGTGCGGGGTAGCACGTCTTCGCCGGACGATGGAGGCACCACGCAGGGTGCCGGCGGTAGCGGCGGTGGGGGCGGGAACGTCAATGAGATTATCGATATTACGAGCATTCAGAACGCGATGCTGGGCGGTGGCGCCGTAGGGTCCTCGTCGACGTCAACCTCAACAACCACGTGGGACTCGAGGGGCTTGCAGTATGCCCCCAGCACGGATCCGGTTTCTTTTATGAATATGAACTTTGACTCAATTCCGCCGGGTATGGGGATCGATCCGTGGACTGTGTTGGCGAACATGGACGATTTGACGTGGACTGGGGATGGAGAGGTGTCAGCGGAGGCAGCTCCAGGAGGGCTGAATGGGAATGGAACTACCGGGTAGGATGGAATGAAAGTGGAAAGGGATGCTTGGTTCGGATTCGAGGAACGGATGGGTATGATACCGGAAATCTAGGCTTTTGTTTTTGGTTTTGTCGGGGTTTCCTGGGTACGAGGGGGAGGGGAGGCGGTGGGATGGGGGTTAAACTTCTGATGATATCCAACGGGAAGGTGAGGTTTGGCGTCGCAAAGCAGGCCAAAAACGCGGTGATATTGCATCAAGATAGCGGCGTATGAGGAAGGAGGCTTTGTTTGGCTGATGAACAAAACATCACGGTTACTATGTGGGGACACGAAACGCATCTCATTCCGTTACTATACCAACTCAACAAAACATCACCACTATATCAAAACAAAATACCTTACGCAATAGCAGAAAACTCGATAGTTGACAAAAAAAGCTCGGGCGTTGGTTCGAACCCTATCCCTACGAAAAACCAGCGTCCCAGTTTATTCATCACCCGTTTAACCACCAGGCTACGTGGCCCCAGCAAGCTTGCGCTGTACCGGGGAGACACTCCTTCCTTCGAAACTGTGTCCTACATACCTTCTGGCTGAGGTGGGAATACCGTCGGGTCCTTCTGGAATACGGACTAGATATTCGTAGGCAGGTGCTTGGACCCTCTACCCCTATTCATTTATCCAAGAATCGTGGCTATCAATCAGTGAGTGAAATTAGGAAGCCAAATATGATACTGCGATCTCAATAAGTCAGAGACTTAAGTGATGAACGAGATCGACACTCTTGGGTGACCAGAGTCAGTTGCGAGGTAGGTAGCTACAGTCGACCATGAGTTCCGAGGCCACTCAACCTACAGCTCTAGGTCCTCGAACACCATTAGCTGCTTAAACGTCTCCATCTTCGATATGTCTGCGATAACATAGGCCTTGATCATCTCACTACTTTTGTCTTCTTCTCTTCCTAGTCCTTTTTGTGTTCCTTGGATTTCCTTGCTCCTCCACAGCGCCTCGCTTCTTTGATTCGTGAAGATGAGTTCCTGATCGCATGGAGCTAACGGCACTTTCAAGCTCATCAGCAGCATTGGCTGATAATACCGTCTTGCACCAGGCTTCAGCCTTTCCAAACGAATCGTGTCCAGCGGGAATCTTAGCCAAGACGCGCGCAAAAACTCTTGGAAGGAACTCATCGCCGCAAGAACCTGTCGTCGTAGGCAGTAAGAACTTGGCCCAAGACTGGCACACGTCCCAAAAATTGACCTTCTCTTGCGCCAGAATTCCTCCGGGGGTTTCTGAGCGCGACTCTCTGACCACAGTGATATTTTCGAGCGTCTCTAAATCATTCAGCATTGCAAAGAGAGTCTCCTCGTACACTGTTGGTTGTTTGAGCAGGTGCACACGGCGTATCGTGATAAAGAACCTGAGCCAAATCGGCATCTCCAATCTTTCATTCTCGTCGAACTCGATGGCCGTTGCGACTGGATTCGCTCCGTGTTCGAGCAGCGTAAGTAGAATGCGATTTTCTGCCAAGGCGAGCAAGTCATCATCCTTCTGCCACCATTGCGTATCCGGCTCAACGGTGGGGTTAACCTTTTCCCTGCGACGACAAAACAAAAATTCCCAAGGACTTTGAAAGTGATATTTTGCCTTGAGTCCCATAACATGGCTGTTAGGGTCATAGCCGCTCTCCAACAGCTTCTTGAGGATCCAACACTGGTCTGTATTGGCCAAAGTGTGACACGGGTCGAGTATCGGATAAAGGGGAGACTGGACTCGGCTCGCGTAGGTGCCCATAAGGTATTCGTGGCTTACTGAAAGCTTCCTTCGGATATAACCCAGGATTCCAGCTTCTAAAACACAATGGCGAAAGATCGTAGTTGCAAAAGAGGGGTCGGTCAATTTGACTTGTCCCCGCGAAAGCATCCGGGGCAAGCTGTTTTCCAGATTATCTAAAAGCGCTGCCGTAAGTGCTTCCGAGCTTTCGCCTTGCATTGTAGCAAGACGCGCGTATGAAAGACCTTGTTTCAGCCTCGGAATAAAACCAGCAACTTCTGATGTGGGATTTTTGGACGGCGAAGAAGTTTCGCTAGCAAAGGTGGATGTTTTTATCCACGCCACAAATGCCTTGAATAGCGATAGACTAAAGCAATGGCTATTCTTCGTGTGTTCTCTTAGGAAATCATCCATTTCGCCAGTGCGGAGAAAGTCGTAGACGGTTCTGTGAAGAAACTCCATGCGGTCGCCGTTGCGTTCCAAAAGGCCTTTACAACGCCCGTTGATACGTCGTGAAACTGAGCGGTAGATCTTCTCGAGAACCTCGGGATCTGTGGGCATGAGCTTTGTATGTGCGATGTCTTTGAATGCGTAGTTCTCGTTGCCGTACTCGAAATCATGGAGGGAGAAGATCTCTATGCGCAGAGGTCCCTGTGCTTGAAGCGCGAGCGACAGCGTCCCGGCCATCTTCTCATTATAGAATGGGTCCACACTTCTTATTATATGCCTGAAAAACTCTTGAAGATCCTCTGGAAAGGTTTCCAAGCGTCTCTGTAGATCTGATAGGCTGTCGTCGTTTGTAAGGCCCTCTCGTAGCAGCCGGACTACGAGCGTGACCCAGAGAAAGACACCCTTGGACTTGAATGCAACCTCCTCGATGAGGGACATTGATGAAACGAAACTGAACTCTTCCAGAAGAACCTTCCACCTAGGATGCGCTTGGAGACGGTTTGCCGTATAGTCAAGAATGTCGTTGTAGGTAAGCTCATGCATATAGAGCTTCGAGTCCGAATTTTCCCCGAGCGCGTCTTCGAAGACGTTCCACGGTCTGCTCGAGACGCACATCTTTATAGAAGGGCTTCGAGATAGTTCTTTGAGCGTTTCGCAGACATCGATGTGGTCGCCTTCGAATTCATCCAAGCCGTCTATAAAGAAGATGATCTTGCATGATAGCTCATCTAGATGAACCCCAAGGAGTCTGAGAAAGTTTTCGAACTCAGATTGACGTGGTGCTGCCGAGGACGTCCCCCAGCCGTCTGGTATAATCTTTGAAATGAGCGCCGGCTTCCTTACTAATACACCGAATAGGAGAGATCGCAAAAGGCCTTCTAGTGACCGTTGAATCGGCGTGCCGTATATCGTAAAGTAGTGGCTGACGACAAGGAGCTTCCGCGTTCCGGCCCACGTCTTCAGGCACTCCCTCGTATCTTTGTTGTCCGCGATGTGTTTCATAAAGGTCGACTTTCCTGACCCGGGCTTTCCAGAGACCCAAAAGAGTGTGTCTTTACCCCTGAGCCAATGTCGCAGCTTGCTATACATGACCCCAGTCTGCTCTGTTTTCCTCAAGCTCCACTTGAAGGTTGTAAAATGAGCTTCAGGTATCCTCTCATATCTGCTTGTCCGGTCCATATAGTTGAGCTTGGCTAGCACTTGGGCTTCCCTCTCGAAGACTCGGGTTTCAAGCGACATCTTTGAGACGCTTGAGCAGATTGTGTCGATATCTACCGGTATAGTTGTCTTCGGGTCCTGCTGCCGAATGTAGTTTCCGAGCTTCCTAATTTCTTCGATCATGGCGCCCAATCTAGAATCGCTGTGAAGCGTCCAGATCCCTCTACCAAGACGTTGAACATTATCTTGGAGAGCTGATATGCTTTCGCTACGGGCAAGCTGAGCAAAACGTCACTTGATGATGTAGGTCAGGGTATACTTACTTTGATGCTGCGCACAGCAAGAGAGTCATCGCGCGTTGGCGATCGGCAATCCGCGTCCTGTATTCCTCAATTTCGCTCGATTGCCAGACTTCGGAAAGGGCAGCTCGAAAGCTGCTCCAGTGCTTCGGGCCCTTTGCCCCAATGACCTTCAGCTTGTTCATCTTTCCAAGAAGGACTTCGCAGTCCTGTTTGCAGGTGTTTGCGAAGTCGGCAAGCTGTTTTCCATGTCTGGATATAGCTTTGCTGGTGTTCGTCGACGAAACCGACTGGGGTTGCTGAAAATTCCCATCGAAGTCGATCAGCATCCCGCAAACATCTTGAATGTGGTTATTGTTGCTACTGGTCCCTGTGGCGGATGCATGTAGTTTTCGGGCGTCATTGAAAAGGCCCACAACGAATTGGGTAAATTGTAGCAAGTTGCCTGCGAGTGCCACGGCTGTCACGGGGTCCATGGTCGAAATTTTGAGGGAGCTGAGTCTCGAAAATCTCGATTTTCTACCGGATCGTTCATGGGATTGAGGTAATTTAACGTCATATCAGACGTTTAACCCAAGGAATCTAGGCAAACGACCAGGCAGATTCTTCAATCACAGCGATCTCCATTGGCTGCACCTCAATTTGATGCATGAACAGCTGACCAACTCATAGCCACAGCCACAGCCACCACCAACCCAGAAGCCAAGAAAAGAGACAGGTTCGTTCTCTCAACTCTTGCAGCGCAGTTATGAGCTGACGCGTTTCATTGGATCACATGAGTAATTCGCTAAGGGTTCCCGAAGCGAGATGTAGACTGTAAGGAGAATGGAGCACAAACGCATGAAAGTTTCTTAAATTCAACTCAAATCTCATTGACCTTGATGTTACATTCGTTTTGCAGAAAGTACTCAGACCGAATCCATTACATGTCGAGGTTGAGATACCAATCTGTAGTACGGATACTATGAAGTTCTTATCACCACGCTTCTCAAAAGTCATACAGATAAAGCCTTGAGGCAATGTGATAATTATCCCATGACGGGCCCTTGTTGAAACTCTGCAGTTCATCACACCCCGTCACACCAAGCCCTCTCTCTCAAAGTTTCTCTTCACCAACCCGACCAAGTTGCCTTAGAAGGTACCTCGCCGAATAAGCAGCACCTCAACCCACGTCAATAACGAGCCCTTTGGCTACCGACCAGCGACCCAATCGGAAAACCAAAATCTCCTTTTCCCATCTCTTCGCGACCCGATTGCCGGGGCTATCGAAACCTGGCTCCAACAGCATCCTTCCAGCTTACCCTGCATTCGCAAGGCGTCTGCCGCGTTGCCCCCTAGCCGCGTAGGATGCCCAGCTCAACGTCCTTCACTCAAACCCCTGCTCGTGAGGCTGACGGGTATCCCTCGCCCCTACCCAACCCCCTCCTCTCTAGTCTCGGTGCGCAAGACCGAAACATGAGGTAACCCCTCTTCTGAGTTTCTCTCCCCGCGTAGGTCGGGGTACATGTCCCAAGTGACGCTGCTTTACTTATAGAAGCGATAAATATCAACTATTACGTGATCGCCGTGTCTGCTACCAGTGGAAACTCGACAGCTGTAGGGACTTTGTGACCAGAGAGACATGGGAAATAGCAGCCTCACCGGAGAAGATCTTCTCGTGTACAGTGGGGCCACCCTTCAACGTGTATGGCTAGTCAGTGTATTTTGGGCCGGAAATATCAGGAAGTCTGGCAGGAAGCATGGTGGTATATTGAGTAGACTGTGAACCTCTCCTAGGTATCGGGTGAGACTGACTGAACCTCATGTAGAAACCGCTCTGACTTCAACGGCTTGAGAGGCCGGGGTTCTCGTTGTCTTTTCCTTCTTCTTAGGTTTGGCTTTATTTCGTTCGATGAGGGGCGGCCGTGAGCCGTGTATTGATACTGCTACTTTCTGAGACGTGTTCTCTCAGTAGTTTATGATGAAAGAGACAGTAAAGGCGGTTACCATATAAGTCATAAAGGTAGGGTAGCTCAGCACTCGTAGAAGAATTACTGTGTGTTTCCCAAGTCGATTGGTTACTTTAGTGAATTTGATGCAACTTTGTATTTTGAGGGGCTGACACTAACTAAACTGCACGATAGCCCGAAGTAACCTTCTTGAGCACATGCGTATGATTGAACCCCCCAGTCGACTGAGTACTTATTTTTTCGGATACAGACATTTTATTTCGAGGGACTAATACTTCTACTGTCGTGAACACGAAGAAGTTCTCGTCTAATGCGGTGATGTGCTGGTTGCCTCGGTCAGGTTTACCAGCCACGGATTTGGACTTAATTCAAGTATACCACTTGATGCGTCTCCTGGTTTCTTATCCTTTTCCACGCACTTCTGCCATCGCGTCTTGTTTTCCACTTCACCGTCGGCAGTCCATGACAGAAATTGTTTGCCTTCTCTGATCTCGAACACGACGTGGTAGAGAGCATCATCATCGGATTCCGGTTCATTGGCGTCTTCCTCGTGGTTCTGAGCTTGGAATTTACTTCGTACCCAAGTGGTGCTAATATCGCAGCTGGTGGTCTTATTGTGTGGCTTGAGGTAGCACACGTTGACCTCGTATGGTTTTTCTTTGGTCTGAAAGCCTCTGAGGTCTATTATCTTAAGTCTGGGTTCCCCGTTACTTTGATTACATTTTTGGATCCGAACCCATCGATAAAAATGTTGCGCATGGTTTGAGTATAGGCCGCAAAACTTCTCGAGATCGTGTTGGGCCTCAACAGTTTGCGGATTCTCCTCGACCTTTGCAGCATCAGACATGGTTATGAAGGTGTGGTTTGATTGAGTCAATGTTGAATTTAACGGTTCGGGATTGCGAGATGTTTTCTTAGATGGTGAATACTCGCTGGGAAGACGGCTATCTCGGAGCTTTAAATAGAGAAGGCATCATATCCTTTGTTTATGATGCTTAACCTTCATGTCCTCGAACAGCATCTTCGACTTGTCGCCTAATAGTGGCGGTAAAGGTGGGTGAGGTGGTGAACCGTTCCTTCACATCAAAGAACTTCTTTGCTGAAGGATACGTGTGACCACTCCTGTTCAGAGGTGCTTGCCAAACAACCGAGGAGAGAAACACGAGGTTCTGAACATATAGAACAAAGACTGAAAGATCATGGGAAGTGTGCTCACTTGAATCGCCGTCGCCAAAGATCGGCAGATGAAGCATAGCTGCATGTTCAAAAATGATGTTCTCTATGGCTCACCTGTTGTACAGAGCCTCTAATAGCTGCCATGGTACTTTATGTTCCGTGTCACCAAAAGTCTAGATTGATGAATCTCCTCCAAGAAATCACCGATAACCTCACCTTCCCAAACTGCAATATACAGCCATTTCCAGGGGGGAAAATCGGGTTTCCGATATTCCATAACTTAGAAAAGTCAATGAGATCTGGCGTAGTAATTTGGTCCGCTTCAACCAGCGAAATTCTGGTGTTGTATGTTTCCTATTATTCCCGGTGATGTAGGATCTTGGGCGGGGCCATTTCGGGAGACGCCATGATCGATGCTTCTGAACCTCGATTCTATGACGTCCTCTACATCGATAGAATGGTTGTTAGGGTGGTTATTGCACTTGTAATGCAGAGCTGCCACCTTTAGAATTAAGCCAACGCTGGATAGCCTCTCCGCCTTCAGTGATACTGGTCTTAAAGCTTCAAGTCCTGCTATGTTTCTCCATAGCGAAGATTCAGCCATAGAGAAACATCGATCATACCAGAAATGGCAATGACAAATGATGCCAGCATCTTTTTCGCTACGATGAACGATATGCTCGATGCACGCGAGTGAGTTGGTGGCTGATGGCAAGCTTTCAGATTGCCTTATTTTACCTTAGGTCGTGAGAAAGATGGGTGGAGGGGTAAGAAGCGGGGGACCGACATCAGCTTCCGTGACGGCACATTTACCCCGCATAAGTGGGTACTGGAACGGAGGACGGCGCCTTCGGCCTGGACTCCGAAGACACGGGTGTACATGTCTCTGACACCCGCGGACTGGCCTTTTGCGGGCCCGGAAAGGCCAGCTGCTTCCCGACGTCCACAAGATGAAGTCAACGGGTGTGGCCATCTGTATCTCAAATGATATCTAGCAGTCCCCAACTACGATTGCAACATTACTACAAGTGACTCTTTACAAGCTGGGTATCACCACGAGATAATCTTTCTGCTTCATCATTTCGAAGCGCCCATTCCCGTTTGTCGTATCTCTTTGGCCAAATCCCGTTCTTGCCAGGAGCAAGAATGCCGTTCGGATCCAGCGCATTCTTGATTGTTTCATTGAGCTTCATCTGGGCGTTGTTGTTGAAGTTATACGTATTTGCGATCTGGTCCATCAACGCTAGATGTGTTCTGTACTCGCCCCAACCACGTTCCGCACAGTCCTGAATCAATTGCCGGATCAGCCACCGCGCTTTCAAGCGCTGCTGAGGGTCTTCGCGGTTGAAGACAATGCACACAATGTGGTCTGCCAAATATCTCAGTGTCATGGTCCCAAGGCTGCTTGAAGTGATAGAGGGCTACTAACGCATTTCTCGCATACCAATGGTGAAGGTGCCAATGAAGTCGAGTCCAGCCTCTGCGAACCTGCGCTTCGTGACCTCGTATTGGAGCTTGGCATCCGTCCCAGAAATTTTTGTGATGGGCGAAAAGAATAGATGCGCACCATTTGGTAGCCAGCTATTGTAATAATGATCAGCAGACTGGACAACATTGAACTGTGATGTCAACGCCGGGATAGGGAAGACATGACGGGATGTTGGCCAGCCACATACCTCACCCAACGAAGCTCGTCCAGGGAAGGAACGCCTCGCAAGGTCTTCTCCCTTGTCTTCAAGACGCTGTATGGTTCATTTCGATCCTCAGCAAGGAAGAACTTTGAGCCGGGAACCTTTAGGAAAGCGGCCTTGATGGTATCAAGAAAGAATTTCCGCACAGGCTCCGGGCCCTATCGCGATGGGGATTAGCCATTGTTTCTGTAAACAGCGCCCGAAAGGATCTTAAAGAGGTTCTTTACATAGACAGCACCATAGAAGTTCCAGCGACCAAGATTTAGTCTGGTTGCGATCGCATCAAGGTCTTCATCGGATAGTGGTTCGGTCTTGTTCGTATAAGAAGCCTTATTACCAGCTACGGCGGCGTCCAGAAGTAAATGGCGAATAGTGGGCACATTCTGAATGACTGTTTGCTGTGGGCATTATTCTCGTCAGTCTCCGTAGGTCGATCAATTAATCGAGAGACGGAAATATTCAACTTACTAGCCGCAACGGTCTGATAATATCCACGATTTCTGACAGGTCATCCTCGCGAGGGAATGTGATCATGTAGGCTTGATATCCTCCAGGATTCGGCATCAACTTTCACGGTTACTGTCAGCAAATGTACTCTTGGTCAAAGATCAGGTTACTGAGGAGAAAGACATGGTTGACTCACCCACACTCCCATTTTGACAACGATGCCAAGGCTACTCTGGGAAAAGATTCCGTCGTTGTAAGGGCCGAACCCATAGCTGAACAGCTGCCAAGCAGAATTTGCTTTCTGTTCATGGGGCGGAAGGTCTGAATTCCCCGAAGACGGGTCCGGAAGCGCTCCCATGCCAGTGCGGATGAGGGTGCCGTCGGGGAGAATGACCTCCATACCGCAATGCATCATGAAGTGATCTGCTGAGAATCAGAGGTATGATCAACTTAGTACAACAGTCTTCTCGACGACATCTTACCTCCGTAAGGCGCTGCAAGATTCCCAAAGTAATCAGCCTACAAATACGGGTCATGGTTGAGGCCAGCCTTCAGGGCTTACTGTAACCGACACCTCTCTCAAGAGTGTTCCCTGCACGTGTACGTCAGTCAAGGACTATATGTAGGCAAGCCGTGATTCGTACCAATGATTGAGCCACCTCCAAGATCAGGCACCTAAATCCGTGGTCAGAAAAACACTTCCATGGTCCTTGCAAAAGAAGAACGTACATCTAGCCACAGGTGTTCGCTGAGGCCAGTCTTGACAAGATACTCATAAAGACCAGCAAAGGTGACCCCAGGCTCGACGAGAGCGTAAGCTCCATCGACGTTTACCTCGAGGACCTTGTTGAGATGCTTTCCGAGTTCAATGCCGAGACTGCCTGGAACTCGCGGTGCTGCGCCGCCGTACCCCGTGTTGCGGCCAATGGAAAAGGGCCAGACAGGCATCTGCAGCTGGTTGCAAAGCCGCATCACATCTTGGACTTCGGGGACAGACCTGGGATTGACGATGGCGCACGATACGAAAAAGTCCCTCTCATAGACGGCGTGCATGTCGTGAGACTTGCACGGGTTGACGTAGTCTCCATCGGCCAGCTCCTTGTCTGCGGAGATGATGTCGAGGTTCTCTGCCCCTACGATTGGGACTACGGACTCCACGAAACGCCCAAAGTCATTGGCGTTCCAGCCGGGGGGAAGACGACGAGGTTGAGGGCAAGGCATTTTGTATGACGATGAAGTATCCGGCCAGCAAGTGCTGTAAGATCGCTTGTTGGCGCGATGAACTAGTTTCAAAGCAAGGAAGAAAGAGCTTAGTAGTAAGCTTTCACTCATGGCATCACAATGTGTTCACGTTGTCTTATAGATGCAGATTGAACATACTTCAAGTGCTTCATCTTCTGCCTACGGTTACACCATCCGCCCCAATTCCGAGGCCGAGGTCATGAGCCTGCCGATGCAGCACACCCTCTCGGGATTTTCCCCACACAACTCCGCATCGAAACCGCCGCTCTACTGCCCGTGTAAGTGAAACTATCTCCGAGTGCGGGGCACCGGTAAACTCTCACCACTATGCTTGTCGCTGCCAGTTCAGTTACCGAAGCCTCCTGCGATTAGTGTCCATCGATTGAAAGAATTGGGTGCGAGATAGAAAGCGTTCCCCGTGGGGTGTGGAGTTTGCTCCGACGTCTCTTCATTATGCTTGCCGGCAAACTCCACACCCCACGGGGAACGCTTTGAATCCCGTACTAATCCTCTGGCGATACGTTCCTATGCAACATGCTTTCAGGAAAGCCACTATGGCTGATCAACCATATCCAGTTGAGAGTACTGCCCAGGGTGAATCTTCCATATAAGTTTATGGTGTATCCGCGCAGCAGTATGACGGAGTTGTCAAAGGAAGCCTCTATCTTGGTATCAAACGGACTCACCCATGTGAGGTTATATTTCCAAATCTGATCAGTACTATCCACGCAGCAAAAACAATGAACTTGGTCTCGACACAGTCTCTGAGCCTACCACGTGATGGTTACATGTCCTCTGCGAGGGACATTATGGGTAATTGGAGTTATGTGATGGTGTTTGCGGTTGTTCTACTCCTCTGGTTCTCTTCGACCATATATACCGTGTTTTTCCATCCTCTCAGTAGTGTCCCAGGGCCATGGCTGGCCCGTTTCAGCGAGGCCTGGAGATCCCACAAGTACTTTCGAGGGACATGGCACCAAGATGTCGTCCTGTTGCACCGGAAGTACGGGAAAGTCGTCCGAATTGCCCCAAACGAGTTGAGCATTGTCGATGAAGCCGGGCTGAAAGCACTATACGGCCATGGTCAGAAAGTTGTCAAGGTCAGGAACCCGAGCCCCAACCAGAAGCTTGCCAATATGTGAAGTCTGTTATCTGACTGTGGATCACAGAGCAAATGGTACGACACTTGGACCGTTCCCAACATGAGTATGAGTTTCTTCGCCGTCAGGGACATCAAGACTCATCGGCATCTGCGGTCTCGCGTCTCGTCCGGGTACTCCATGACTGCTATTCAATCCATGGAGCCCTTGATACAAGATGTCTCAAACTCTATGTGGCAGAAAATGGGAGAGTTTGCCGATAGGAATGCTCCGGTTCGCATGGATGAGTGGGCAAACTACTTCGCCTTTGACGTGGTTGGTAGCCTGGCTTTGGGCGGCCCTATCGGTTTCATCGAGAAGGGAAAGGATGTTGACGGTATCATCCGGTCAATCCACGACGGCTTTTGGCTCATGGCGAACATGGGCAACATGCCATTCCAAATGGTGTGGTTCAACAATCGCATCGCGCAGTGGGCCCTTAGGTCCTTTGGCGGCGAACGGCTCCAGGCCTTCTCTAGATTTGTGGACTGGCTAGAAGTCCGCGTTGACGAGCGCTACCGAAATGGCCTTGGTTTCAAGCGGCGAGATATGTTACAGCTGTTCATCGATGCCAAAGATATGGCAGGGCAGCCGGTCACAAAGGGCGATGTAATGATGGAAGGCGTCAATATTCTGGGCGCCGGAGCAGATACGACAACTATTGGCATTCTTGCCACGCTGGGCTCGCTTCTTCTTCATCCCGAAGCGATCGTTCGGCTCCAGGCTGAGATCGATGAAGCGTATTGCTCTTTGGGACTTGAGAAGACAGGGCGAGACATCGAGTTCTTAGAGTCGTCCAAATTGCCGTTCCTATCCGCCGTCATCAAAGAGAGTACAAGACTGCACCCTTCTATTCAGTATCAACTTCCACGCGTGGTTGGTCCCGGAGGCTTGCAACTCGATGACATGGCAGTGCCTGAAGGCACGATATGTGGCATAAGTCCCGCTTCGATGAACCGGTCGCTGGAGATATTTGGCCCAGACGCTGATGAGTGGAAGCCTGAGAGATGGATTGCGACTGATGCAAACCATGAAGAAAAGATCAAGTATTGGAACTCCCATTTGACAACGGTAAGAAAACGTCCAAGGCTCTTCCCTGTGTGGTCATCAGAGAGGGCAGCAAAGGTTGCTAACGCGATTACAGTTCGGCATGGGAAGCAGAAGCTGCGTAGGGAAGAACTTGGCCACGGTTGAAATGCACAATTTCATTGCGCAGTTCTTCCGCAGGTTTGATGCTTCATTAGTGGATTTGGACCGCCCCTGGCAAACAAAGACGCAATGGTTTGCTTTTCAGAGGAACTTCTGGGTACGCGTACAGCGTAGATATTGATCTAGATCAGTGACTAGTGTTTAGCTTTTGGTGGGAAGATGGATTCACTCGGACAATGGGAATCCTCCAGATCAGCCCATACATAGGCATCGCATGAAGTAGTGGTATCAAACAATTGAAGTTAGGCACAAGAAACAGATCAAAAAGCCTTGCATTCGAGTCTCTGACCAAACTCACGCTGCTCATGTCGAAGAAACATAATTCAGGTGAGGTGCCGAAATAAAGATACACACTCGAAAGACAGTGTAGCCAGAAATAGCCGGCCCTTCACGCCCCCTCTCTGCCGATCCTCCCGGCAAGGCGCGGTTCCCCGCAGATCCACATTGGGGACTGTCTGGGGAAGCAAACGGTATTTCATGATCATGTTGCCTTGAAGAACCATCACCCCCGATCACCCACGCATAGTGTCTATTCGGCGCCCCATGATCCCCGACACTGATAATTTAATCAATCATGGCTTCCGGCACGCTGTCTTCTTCTGCTACCTCTGGCATCACATGCCAAGTGTGCGACCGAAAGTTCACACGTCTCGAACATCTTCAACGCCACGAAGTGATGCGTATATAAGCCCAATCTCCCATCATCCACGCTCGATCATTGGAATTTCTGACGTTTAGGCTCCGCCACAGATAGTACAAACCGCCCATTTAATTGCCATTTCTGTTCGCAATCTTTCGGGCGCAGGCAAGTAAGCTCATTTCGTGTGAAGGGACGACCATGCTAAAGCCCAACTACGTTCGGAACAGAGACGTTCTCAAGCGTCATTTCAAGGCCTGCAAAGAGAGGCTTCGGGCCGACGTAGAGATTCCGCAACTTCCTCAAAACACTAGAGGCAAGAAGAAGACAGCCTGCGATCGTTGCAGTCATCGGAAGCGAGCTTGCAGCTCTCAGTGGCCATGTCGTACCTGTCTAAAAGACAACAGGCCTTGCACGTATACAGCACAGATTGCCAGCGATGAGAACGATACTTTGGCTGCGCATGATACACAATGGGATACATCACCTATGGCAGACAACAACCGCAGCGATGCTAAATCAGGTACTCTGACGGAACGATCCGTGGCCCAAGAATCTCCAGTCCCGACCACACCACTCGATGCGCGCGCTTCCAGTAACGACCTATTTCACATGCCTGCAACTGGAGGCGGCATTCTAGATACATATCTAGACGAACCCCTGACCGACGAGTTAGACCTAGGTGATCCCTTCCATTACCATGCTGAAGAAGCGCCCGACCTGCTCATTCCCGACCTGGTCTACTCCACATTCGACTTCCCATACGAGACCCAGACACAGAACACGATCAGATATCACTTTAACTATATGAAAAGGTTTACCAAGTTCGCGGGTCTGGCGCAGTCCTTCGAATGTGGCTCGCTCCAAGAACGACAGTTACTGCTCCAGCAGATCCGGAGACCAAACCTCGGGTGCGATGGTCGCAGTTGGGACAACTACTTGCGCTCGGTATTTCCCCTAACCGCAGAGCCTAAGATATCATGGCGTAGTAGCCAGACCCCTTCTGTCTCGCTCTCGACCGAATCCCAATACAGCCTCAATAACCGGTCTGACGATCAACTCTCCAGGTTCCAAGTGGGGGAGTCTGTTGACCTGACGTGCAAGATTGTCGCAATGCTTAGAGACATCACCATCAGCAAACCAAGAGGCAGCAAAATCAACATCTCTTGGTCCGGCTCCATCGAGTTTTCCTGCCACAACTTCTTCTCCCCTCAAAGACTACAAGACAACCTCGAGCTATTCTGGTCATGCTGGTATCCCAACTGCCCCATCATTCACAAACCATCCTTCTCGACCTCCAACGCATCACCCTTGCTCATCGCCGCCATGGCCGTCTTGGGAGCATGCCTCTCTCCGTCGCCGAGCGTCCGCGCGAACGCCAACATTTGGTTCAACAGTGTAGAAGAACTCGCCTTCCTCGACGAGGTTCTTCTTGATGAGTCTGTCACTGTTAACGATTCCGTCTCATGTGACGATGACGCGGTCTATAGGCGTCTCGAGGCGATCCAAGCTGCCTACTTGGTTTGTCTGATACAGTATTGGGAGGGTGTGAAACCGAGTAAACGTCGTATTCGGAGGAATAGGTATGCTGTTGTCTTGGATGTAAGTTAGATGCAAATCTTGCACATAGTCCTCCCGTTACCAGCTGACCACCGTACTTTCAGGCAGCAAGAGACTTCGGTTTGGATGATCTTACCCGTCATAAGCTGCCGGTTGATGATTCCTCCACTTTCAGCTGGAAAAGGTTTGTATTACTGGAGATGCTTATTCGGTGAGTTTACCACATAGGAGGCATGGAGTTCCCAAAAAGGCAAGCAGAGTCTGATGTGCAACAAAAAGAACCGGGACCTACATCTTCCTACTCGATGGTGCATTTGTCATCTTCCACAACTCACCTCCGAGACTCGTGGTCGCCGAGATGAGAATGAGTATCGTCTGTCCCGACTCCTGCTTCCAAGCGTCCTCTCAAGAAGAGTGCTTCGTCCTCCTACACAATTGGACCTCGAGCGAACCGAGACAAGCTCACATGCGGGTCGTCGATCTCGTCGAGGCCATGTGCAACAACCACCTCAGCGACGAAGAAACTTGCGAAGGTCTAGCGGGTCTCAGCATGCTGAACCTGTTCACGGCCATCACTGGTATGTACCTTACTTCAATTGAATCTTTACTTGTCATAGTACTTCAGGTGTTGTTTACACGCAAACGAGGGCAGACGCTTACGCGGTGTAACTTAGCATTACACACCCTCGGGTTCCACTACGAAGTATCTCTCGCGCCCAACAGCGGATCGTGGCACCTTCAGATGGGGCTGAACCGATGGATTTCGCTCTACGACCAGGCCGACAGCTGGGTCGCTGAAAACTCACCCGGTCTCCTGCTGTGCGACGAAATGTGGCGACGGCTGGGTTTCATACGCCACGCAAAGGAGTTTTGGATGCTTGCTCAGTTGATGCTGGATAAGTCGCAAATCGAGTTGAACACGGCTGGCCCAAGTGGCGGGCCGTTTGACAAGACCCGAGGTACGGTGTATGACGAGAATACCATGGATTATGTTCACAACTTGGTGCAAAGTCTCGGAGACTTGAAGATAGCTTAGGATGTCGGGTTTGTAATGCCTATATTGTCACTAAGCTGAAGCCATCGTTTCCTGTCTACGTGCCCATACCGTCTCTCGGCTTGGACTAATAACTTAGAGCACCCTGGGCCTCATGAAAGTGTAGCAAAAATGTCTGGCTGTATACTAGGAGTTCTCCTTAAAACCAACACCGATCTGCTATAGCGTTGGTCTTCCATCTACTGGAATAAGCCATAGGGAGGTGAACCCCAAAACGTGCAGGGCATACTCCTCGTGCACGCGTTTCCTCGAAGAAAGCTCTTCGACGACTTGCCGATAATCCAAGACGACTGAATTTGATGTTTCTATGTTCATCGAATGCCGTTCCCATCTGCCGTGAGTTGTGCCTCTAGGCGCGGGTGTCATGTGTGTTGACAACACAGCGGCGGCATTTTCCCCACCTCAACGGCAGATGGGTCTTCAACCACGACATAAGGTACCTTAGGGAAAACCGTCGACGCCTATAAGTAACCGAGGTTATAACTCAATAACGACGTGTTAGCTTTGATTGAGAGCCGGGACCATTTTTGAAATGATCTTGAGTATTGCTTCAGGGAGATCGAGTGGGCATCACCGCAAGCTGAGCTTCAGAAGTTTCCTTCTCTCTCGAGACTACCACATACGACCATACCCATTGGAAAATTCGGGATCCCGTCCGCTCTCCCATAGACAAGCCAATGAGGGCCGGATTAGTAGTTGGGTCGGTGACGACCAGCGAATACCTGGTGTTGTATGTTTTTGAAGTTTTGTTTTGTGAAGCTATCGTCGTTTTGTCGTGGTTGGTGACGATGGATAGCATGGGCGGATGTGGTGGGTTTTGGTGGTGGTGGCCGATGGGGGGTTTTGGCTTCTCCAACTTCCAAGTACGTACTATGGTCCTCCAATTATCATGCTAGCCCAGTCCATCATATGTTGAAGACGCATGGGCCTGCCCGATGGTGGGTATTAAACAGTAAATAAGTTTCAACCGTATCTGTCTCGCAGCGTCATGAGTATACTCGATCAGTTGAGGGATCAGCTATTGCGCTTTCAGGCGCTGCTGAGGGCCCACTGCGCTCAATTACTTCTAAATCGAGTAAAGCTGCCTACTAATACGGGGTGGCAGTGGAGCTTTCGTATAAGTCCGCACTGCCACCAGTGACCACTCCCGAGACATCTAGAATCGTACACTAGCGAGAGCGCTACTATTTGTGCGCCTCCTGTTCGAATTCCGCCTTTGAGAGATGGAACTCTACTTTGACACAAACATTCATGTCGGCACACTCAAATGAAGATCAAGCGTGAGGTCGGTCCGCTGGATCACCGCAGGAGACGGACTCGCTGTCTGCCATGCGCCAAAAGGCGTATCAAGGTAGGTACCTATACACAGCTCATTCCCACATATGGCGTTACTTGAACTCACACACAGCAATCACAAATCAGTGTCAAGGCGGTTCTCCCTGCGAGTACTGTACTCGAACCAAGAAACGTTGCCTACCTCAGGCCACATCTACGACCGAAGTGCACTTCATCAGCCCCAGATCCTCTGAAGAAGGCATGCAAGTCGCTGGACTACCGGCACACGTCAACATACCCAGCGCTATACTCTACCTTGACTATTTTGATCTCTTCATGAAGCGCTGTCTGTTTACAGATGAGTTCAGCGGCCTGGCTGCCGACCTCTTACCCCTGGCCCAAACATGCTTGCCACTCGGGCAAGTAGTGACAGCGATTGGCGCACTCGAAGCCAGCCGACGCGCAACAGTCAAGTCCTCTCGCGGGCAGCAGCCACCTTACATCGTTGCCTTTGTGTCATACGGGGAAGCCGTCAAGACGCTCCGAGCTCGACTGCAGGTATCAAACGGGTTCCGCTGCGGTGGAGTTCTCTGGTGCACGCTACTTCTTGGGCTATTCGAGGTGAAATACCTCAACCATGTTTCGCTTTTTGAATCGCGTTTACTGACTGGTAGTTGAAGTTGATGACTGAAACTTCTGGAGACCTGTGGGCCAAACACATGCTCTACGGGACGGCTAGGATCATCCAGAGCGTAGGAGCAACGGGTCAGTCGTGTCAGCTTGACAAGAGACTCTTCGGAGCGTTTAGATCGCTAGAGGCAAACCGAGCGATTCTGTACGGCGAAGATACGTTTTTATCGCAGGAGCCGTGGTCGAAGTCTCGAGGATATCTTGTCGTAAACCCATCAAGTCAAGCAGAGGCAGTCTTCGACCTCCTGATCGAAATCTCTTCCTTTAGTAAAGCGTAAGCAAGCCGCATTCTTGACTGAAATGAATCAGAGCTCAAAATATTGATAGGTTCTTCGACCGTATCGAGTCAATTCCGGACACACTTCGACCTGGGCACCCGGCGATACACGCTCTAGCTGAGCAAGGTCGACGTTTCCAGCAGCGACTTTGCAGCTGGCACGACCAAATCACACCGTATTTTGATCACCGTGATCCGTATTGCATGCTAGCTTTATCAAACTACAATGCTCTCCAACTATTCTTGTGTAGAAACTATGCCTATTACGCATGTTGGGAGGGGCAAGACATCCCCTCGCTAGCAGCACATGAGATTGAGGCGCATGTAACCGCTGTGGTAGATCTCTCAAACCAAATCCTCGAGTATTCCAACATACCGGGGGTATTACTCCTGTTCTCTCTCCGAATGGCTGGAGCAAATACAAATCAGTCTTTACAAAGGGATGAGATTGTGAGATTGCTTGACAAAATAGCAACAAAAGGGTTCGCGGTCTCAGGGAGAATCAAAAGGGATTTACAAGAATTGTGGGAATACCAGCACGCGGAAATGGCACGGGACGACATTTGAAATATATTGAGTATACCGAGCAGGAGCCTCTATGGATCAAGAAATGAAGTCAAGTAGGTCAAGCCGAACATGTATGGTCGAAGCCCCCGGGGAAACGTGATTCAAAGCTCATTTTGCCTGGATATTGAAGAACTCCATGATCACTCGGGTTCGCAAGTCAGGGGCAAAGTAGTCGTAGCCAACGATAACATTGCATTCATTGACGTAGACCGTCACCGGAATGGCACCCTGGTACATGATGCTCCACTGAACAAATGGTCAACTCGACGGTTCACGAGAGATGAATTGAGATAGCAGGGGTCTCTTACCGCGGCAACAGGCGATGGGATGAAATCCCTCTGCACGAGTCCTTCGTAGACTGCACCAGCTTCAACCAGAATATTACTCTGAAAGATGGGGAAATTCGAGTTCACATAACCCCTCCACACGCTCGGGGTGGTGGAGTTTGGGCCATACGTCGTCATCGTGTTGTCCACGAGGCCTGACTCGCTAACGTTGGAATAGTCAAACAACGACCACGAAATCTGACCCTCGTAGGCTTCGCCCACACGGACGAAAGCATCGGAAGGGGAATTGTCGATGTAACCAGTCGTGATGTGGGATAGGTTCGCATTCCTGGCTCTCGCGATTAGAAAGAACGTAACATTATTACCGGTCGGGGAAAAAGTTACCATTTATGCTGAACAAAACTGGCCTGATACTCTGGTTTGATCAGAGGTGGCTGTGGCTGTTCGAAGCCGGCAGAGAAGGTGATCATGAATGACGGGAAGGCAGGGGTCCCATGGGATGATGGGAGACAGGTTGCCCTAACTGCTGTCGCGGCAAGGGCAGTGAGAAGAAAGTTAAGGGATTGCATTGTGAAGTATGACAAGATTTTGGGCGAGATGCTTGAAAGTGAGGAGGTTGAATGTTCTCGTCTCCCTCATGTCTGGACATTTGTTCCCCTTTATATACATCGCGAGCATTTCATTTCTTCAGCGTCGCTATTCAAGTGCGTTCTATAACTACCAATTCGGGATAGCTGACTCCACTCACTAGGAGCGCGGCTGTACAACATGACGAACGGGAAGGCTGCAAATCGCGCTCGATTGGTTCCAGACATGTTCGAGAACCAAAAGTTCATATGGAGAAGGAGTGTGAGCCTGCCTGACGATGGTCATCGAACGGTGGTGAACATGTTTTAATTGGATCAGCCTTGTGGTGTTATGAATCTACTCCACCGCAAAGACAGTTCGGCATAATTAAACCACCACTTTTACAGCTACCATAAAGCTAGTTTGTCTTCTTCTCCTCGTCCTTAGGCACGTACGTCTGCCAAGATTTGTCGCCCATAATGCCATCAATCCTGTTCAGCTTGGCCACCACGTCCGCACGGTCTGTGAGGTGCCTCTTGATATGGACCGTGGTTTGGTAGAGAATAACTAGGGCAGAACGGCGTCAGAAACAACGGAAGAACGAGGGGTGAAGAAATGTTGACTTACTCGCAGGCACAATGACCCAAGGAGCATTGAAACCAACGTAGTAGACCCAGAAGTACAGAAACTCAGGTCTGCTATGCGATACTCCGTTGGAGTAGAACTCGATCAAGCTGGTTGAGTAGTAAAGCACGACGCCGTACAGGTGCCCAACACTCATGATGATCTGAAATGGGTAACGCAACTGGTTCCGCTTGGCAGTAGTGATGACGATGGCCCAGCAGAGGGGGCCCCATACGAGCTGGAATCTTGGTCAACAGTGGGCTCTTTCGAAATACCAAGAAGCAGCGCGACCTACTACTGTGAAGGACTCAACGCAGAGCATAAATGGATCGGAGGTCAGGTAGCGAGAGTCGGAGAGTGCATACTCCTTCCACAGCTGGCCAAAGAGACTTTGGTCACTGGCCAGGCTCTTGTGGTTGAGGATAAAGTATCCTGTGGAGACGTTAGACTTGGACTGAGAGGAACCGAAGGATCGCGAATACACCTTCGAAGAAACAGTGAAGGAAACCGCCTGCGTGAATGAAGCAATTAGCCAGAGCTGGGCAAGCAATGTTCTGAGCACCACGCACAAAGAGCAAACCAAGCCACGGTAAGCTGGTCCGAGGCTTTCAGCTGGGGATAGGTGTTTCTAGCACCCGCGACGGCTGTAAAGACGACGAAGGATATTATGCTCCCGAAGAATACGAGCAAGCTGAGAACGGAGTTTTTGTTGGCGACATAGTGCGGTAGGGCAGCGGTGACTGGGTAGTAAGGATGCGCAAAGGCGGCGTCTGTCGAGTTATCCATGTTGGGCTGGTGCTCAGTGTGATTATCTCAAGACTTTGTGCACGCGTAGAGTAACACTTTAGTTCGAGTGATGCCAGAATTTCGTCGTCTTGTTTGCGAGGTGGTTGGAGTTGGGGTTGGGCCAAAGTTGAAATGGGGTTCCCCGTTCTTCAAGATCGCTAGAAGACTTGCTTGCCGAACCAGGGTCGAAGTTGCCCGATCAATGCCAGACACACCTTCCACTCAACATTCGGCAACAAGTACGAGCGTCCGCCTGTTTCTCGACGTAACGAGAATGTCGAATTAAGGTCTGGAAGGATTGCTCAGGTCAAGGCCCGATTACCAGGTGCCTACTTCCTCGTGCAGAGGCAGCCAGCACTCGGCTCAACCAGGTACCTGAGAAGCACGGATCCCTTGCAGCACTAGCACCTGCCGACACCTCGGCGAGCTATCGATGCCTGGTGACTTTCTTCCCGGTTCTTTTTTGGTATTAGTAACACGGTGCAAAGAGATTGAATAACCGGAAGCAGCATCATCGGTGCTCGAGAAATGGGATGAACTATGAGGTGAAAGTTGTCGCCCTGCCCTACATGGTAGCTTGTCGTATCCCAAAGAGGAAATCGGACCGCTGATCTTCCGCTGCTCGGGGGCCGCCCGCACCAGACAGCCGTTACTTACCGCCAACTATTCAACTTCGTGACACGCTTATCCTTACTCCCGTCCTTGAAAACGACTACATCCTATCTTCCGAAAAGGCCTCACTTACTCGCCCCAACACCCATTACAAGCCGGACATATATACTCAAGCTAAATACTCAACATGGGTGACGTTCCAGTTGAAGAGGCACCTTTCCCGCTCACAGACGTTGATAAGTGGGTCCTCTCACAGACAGATGAGGAGTTCAAGAAGCATGGCTGGGAGGAGCTCAAGGAGATCATTGGTAAGCGCGTTTGCGTTGCGTCTTCTATAGATATTCTGTTTCAAAGATCTGATTAGACACCAGCGACAAATAAGCTCGAGGTTTTGAAGCGAAAGCCGTCAGACCTTCGTCGATACATGAAATGGACGGCCGAGACTAAGGCCGAGTACGGCTCCATGACCAAGTTCCTTCTCACCAACCGCCTACCCAAACCCTGGGGCGAACCACCTTTTACTCCCAAGTCCATCGTGCCTTTTGAGGATCCTTCCGATTACCGGGTTCTCGTCAACGATTGGCCGTATGGACTTGACTCAGGCATCACCCATATCGTGGTTTGGTCGCGCACCATCATCCCTACGGACCCTGAGACCGGGGACATGACAGTAGAGAGCAGGCGCACTGTTCAGGATTTCATTGACAGGTACTTTGTCAAAACTCTTGGTGATGTCGGAGAAGACAGGGTTATCTGGTTTAAGAATTGGGTCGCCCTTCAGAGCGTCCGGGCCTTGGAGCACATCCACGTGCTGGTGCGGGACGTCGACCCGGAAGTCATCAAGAAGTGGTCTGAGGAGCAATCCTGGCACAGATAGACCTAGTCGCTGCATTCCCGATAGAATAGAACAGATAACCTGGCTCGTAGCGCTCAAGTCCTAGGCAGCACAAAATATGACTCTGACTATGCGGCTCGACGTTGCCTCCTGTTGGCGGGCGGGGCAGGCTCATCGCTGTTCGCAGCGCCCATCTGTGCCATACGCTTGCCAGCTCCGAGCAAGCCATAGCCAGCGTATGCGCCGTAGGCGGGCACGGCGAGCCACAGGAACCAACCCCAGTTGCCGAATAAGATAACGAGAATGACGGAGGCCCAAGTCACCCATACGACGTCGAACATGTACTCGGTCAAGCCCGCAGCGGCCAAGTCCTCGCCAGAGGACTTGAGGCCTCCTCCCGCGTCGTACTTGGGACGGCCAGATTTCTCAAGGACGTACTCGCAGATGAGGGCCGGAGAGGAGAGCAGGATGAACCAGAAGAGAGACCGGGACTTGAAGATGAAGTAGAAGATGAGAAAGGCGACATTGACAACGGCGGAACCGATGTGGAGGTTGTTCAAGGTGGTGGCGTTGGATTTGGCTCTGTCCTTCTTTGCCTTTTGCGCCATGGTGGAGGATGCTGAGGGTTGTTTCGTGGGGTATGAAGTTGGATGCAATGTACGGAGTAAGGTATTGTGACGATAAGAGGCCTCGAGAACGTGAGTGAGGTCAAGTCAATTAAGTTAATGATGTCGGTCTTCGAAAGTGGGGTCCAACGTTCCTGGGAGTAGAAGACAGGTTGCGACCTTGTTGGAATTGAGGCTGAAAGGATCAGGGTGACGAAATTCCAGCAGTCGAGGC